AAATTGATGCATTATAAAACAAATATGCACATCTTATAAATATTTGGTTTGCAATTGAGATAATTCATCACTAATTTATCAAATAGCAACAACAAATATAACTCTCCAAACAATTCTTAATGATTCAAAGTGAGTGGCTCTGTCAGAGACCACACTTGACTACTACTAGTGTGTTGCTGCGTCCAGGTACTACGGGCTCGCCGTCTGGTTCCCGGACGTCATCAAGCACCTCCAAGCCGACGACTACGCCTCTAGAGTGAAGATCCACAACAACGAGCGCATCGAAGACTTCACCTTCAACTTCACCCTGGAGAACCAGATCCACAGGAACGGCATGTTTCTGAACGACAGGTAACATGTTCTGATTGGATTTTCATATTGCTCTCTTAGACAAAGGGATTCATAATAGAAGTTATAAAAACCAGCTAACAAGTTGTGAATGGAGCCTGTGAGCCTCCCTCAGCACAGTGTTGTGGTTAAAAGCCTCTCGTCCCGTTGTAGGATAGCAGTACTATTAGTCATTCCCACAAACAACACACCACTGCCGGTAATATTAATCCGGCATCCTTTATCTCACACAGCACCAGGAAATTGAAAGCCTTATCTCTTTCTCTCTCCTCTCTCTAACACACACACACACACACACACACACACACACACACACACACACACACACACACACACACACACACACACACACACACTGGTTACACAGAGCCTAGAGAGAAGAAGCATCAATGTCGTTTTTGTTGTTTTTAACCCTCAATGAAGTTTATTAAGAGATTCAATCAAGACCAATAGCATCATAATGTGTACAGCAGCATGCAGCAGATAATATAGACATGTAACACACTGCTAAACCCTGTCATAGTCATGCTAAAGGATGGCCTCTACTGTGACATGTTTACACACTTTTTCAAAAAGGTCTTCATTTTCTCATACTGCCTGTGTTGCAGCACCTCTTATCACCCTCTGTCTGAAACCAGAGCCCAGCTCTGATTGGTTAGCTGGCCGGCTCTGTTGTCCCACTTAGAGATGTCCTGCCTATCACGTAAAACGTATTTGAGGGCTAGCCAGTAGAAGCGCAACTGTTACATAGTGATGTCATAATGGCACAGAAGTAAAAAAAGATCCTGTGGGAGTGCAATGGATGTCATTCAGGTTGGGGGGGGGGGAGTGGAGTGTGTGGGAGAGAAACTCCCACACACTCCACCCCCACACAGGGATTCTAGCCTTTTCAGACCATTTACAAACAAACCTATGTGCTGTAACACACTACAGGGAAGGGATCACCCCAAAAAGCATTAATCACAAGAAATTATTTAGTGTCAATTTCCAATCCCTGTTAATCCTGATTTAATAGTTGAGTCTCTTTAAACATATGTTAATGTGTTCTGTGTTAACTCCTCTCCTCCCAGGTTCATCAGTATGAAGATCAGGTCAGTCACATTCATCGACTCGTCCTTCCTCAACTGCTACTTTGAAGACGTCTCCTCCGTAGGGTCCTACTTCCAAAACTGCACCTTTGTCGACTCCTTCTTTTACAACACAGGTGAGTCTACACACTCACATTCCGAGCATTCCTCTCGAGCACTTCCACCCCAGAAAATCCTATTATACCGTCGGTGGCTCACAAATAAGTCTCACTCAGTCTCTCTGTCTCTTTCTGACAGTTCATTTTGGGTCTAACGTCCACGCTTCCAGGCAAGAAAGAATTGGTTTGAGCGTTTATGGCTTTGCTTTATGTCACTAGATGACTGCTTAACCTCCCTGCCCCTGCACAGATTGCCTGTCTGAGCCCAGGCGACTGTACTTATTAAGAAGGAAACTGAGCAGGGCACGGCTGCAGAGCACTGAAATGGCATTTTCTAACCACACAAACACTCCTGGAGTGATGCTTGTTATTGTCACTGGTGTTTTAGATGCTTTGAAAAAAACTTAAGCAGTGAAGTAAATAAACATGATTCTCTGAGCAGCTGAATTTAACTTCCAAATGTGAGATGTTCCTATTCACTTCATTATATAATGCTTTGTTTTGATGCATCAGAACCAGCCTTCTGCAGAAACATCTAAATGCATAACATTGCACCTTTTATTATAAAAGTGCAGTTTAATCATTTTTGAGGCAGGCACAAACCCAGACAGGAACAAAGGGAAAAGCAGTGCAGACACTTGGAATGCTCAGAGGAACTGAGGCTGAATCAGACCTTATGGGAGCGCTGGGTGGAAAGAAAGTTCCCTCCAGTGCTCAGGAAAAAGCGCTGAACATGGAAAGAGTAAGGGCACATCAGGTTGCTGGTAATGCCCCATGGGAAATGCAGTCCCTCTGCCCCAAGCAATGTGTCTCTAGAGAGTGCAGGAAAGAGAGGAACGAGGAGAGACAGAATTAGGGAGGGAGGGAGAAGTGCGTCATGAGACGTGAGAGAGGGGAATGTTTTCTCTGTGCTGCAGCCGCTGATGTTTATTAATACACTTTGCTATTTACGGAGAGAGCCCACAGACATGTCAACTATACAGAATACTTAATACTGTACTCGTATATGCCATGCATACAGTTTTGAAGGGCTATGTTTATGAATCAATTCTAAATGCAAGTGTATGCAGGCAAGGTTTTATTTTACCTCTAATTAAAGAATCCGACTAGTTAAGAATAAAGGAAAACCTCAGCATGTAGTGTTGGAGATTTAAAGGGATAACTGGTCCGCTTTTCAAATCTCCGCGCGTTCCTATGAAGCTGGTTATAATACAGGAAGGAATCCATATCTACAAAGTAACCGTTAACAATAATCTACTTTAATGGCAATATGACAATGCAATACAATCATTACAATACAACATGATATATTACAGTTATATTGTAATGCTTAAGGAGTAATGCCGGCTTACTCCTGCCCTGGTTCGCATACTGCAGAGCTACTTTCACCCGGGGCAGCATGTGAAGAAGAGGCCGAACGCCAGGGATCCACCGGATATATACCAGAGTAAGAAGGAGGGGTTTGGTGTTAGGTCAGCTGGTCATCTTTTCAGGTCATCTCATTGGGAGACGCAACGCTGGCCAGCAGGAAACCAAACAGGCTCACTTTCCAACAAAAGGTCTCAAGGCCTGCATACCTACACCTCCCCCACAGAGCAATAAAACCCTGTTTATGCCAACCAGCCCAGAATGTTTATAGCCATTTGTAGTCCTTACATTTATGAAAGGATAAAACAGAGAAATCAATATAAAACACAAACACAGGTATTGTTTGAACAGTATTCACTTAACTGCTACTATTGATAAGCACCAGAGAAACCCAAGGGACCTCTCTTAATATCACAAACACGGTAGCTAGATCTAAGTTGAATGCAAATCAGGACATGCTCTCACCTTCCCCCATCTTCCTTTGTCCTCAAAAACACATGTCAACAGGCCCCAAATCCAGCTCACAGTTTTACCCAAATTATTCCCATTTTAAGCTTATCCATAGTTTGCTAACATGAATAAATACAAATATAACTCTACAGTAGGGAAAGAAGTCTATTGCTGTCTCACAGAAAGTTAAATAGGATAGTGGACACAGCAGGTTTTCTGTGTCAAATCGTTTGTAGTCATTTAAATAAAACACAACTTTTCATGCAACATGCAAAACATAAGATAAATAAAAGAGACAGAGCCCTGCCTGAAAGCCGGTACGGTTGAAATTGTACTTCAGTGATGAATTCTTAGAAATACCAAAACCATTTGACCTTTCCTGAATCAATAGAAATTAATAAAACTAAAATAAACAATACCAGAAAAGCCAACCAATGAGATGAACCCATGCAGATTTAAGTCAACTCTATCAGCGGCAGAACACAGAGCATTTAGTTTGTGCATTAAGGATTTAAACTCTGAGAAAGAGACGAGTTTAAATCGAGATGTAGAAGGTGGCAGGTGGATCAAAACAAATGTATTACCTAAACTCCAAATTAAAATGCTTGTGTCTCACATTTACAGATGTTGACGATGCCAAACTGACAAATTCAAGAGTGATCAACAGCTCCTTCCACCACAACAAGACGGGCTGTCAGATGACGTTTGACGCCGACTATAGCGCCTACTGGGTCTACTTTGTCAACTTCCTGGGAACGCTGGCTGTGCTGCCCGGCAACATCGTCTCTGCCCTGCTCATGGACAAAATAGGACGTCTCAGCATGTTAGGTACAAAGAAACCCAAGAAGCCCTTCTTATTCATTTCTTTTGATTTTGGTCTGTGTTTGTGGTGATCTCTGCCGAGGTAAATGAGGTTATTTTGTCCCGTGTTGTGTCCTGCAGGAGGCTCCATGGTGCTCTCAGGCATCAGCTGCTTCTTCCTGTGGTTTGGCACCAGCGAGTCCATGATGATCTTCATGCTGTGTCTCTACAACGGCCTCAGTATCTCTGCCTGGAACTCGCTGGATGTCGTCACCGCTGAGCTGTACCCGACAGACAGGAGGTGGGCTGCACACTACAGAAACACATACTTAGAAATGTGAAGGTGTAGATGTTATTGCAACATTAGGGGAGGGTGGCGCTTATTGAGGTCTTCTCCCAGGACATTTTGAGCGGTTGAACAGTTGATGTTATATTTCTTGCACTCTAGTGAATTTTTCTGCACCAATTTATGGTGGAAATATCATTATTTCTTTAAGTAAAAACACAAAGTGTAAGCAGTATGTATATAATAATCTAATTTCTAATAATGGAATATATTCCTGTGTTGCATGCATATATTTAAACATTTTGAACATTTAACATTATACATCAGCAATAAGGGGTGTGAAAATATTTACTTTTCAAGTATTTGAATTCATCCAAACATTGATATGGTTTGATTGTTGAACACGATAAGGCTTTCAGAAAAGTGTTTTAGGTACAAACAGAGATTAGGACATTTGGTCCACGCTTGGGCTAGAATCTGACCACAGATTTTTAATCTTCAGCCGTTCCGTAGCACTTGGAATCTCATCAGGTTCACAAAATGCACTGCAGATCATCAGAGTTTGATGCATATAGTTTTATTCTTAAAAGAATGAGAACTGGAGCCGGTCTCCGGACGACTGGACCAAAGATGTGAACGTGCTTTCTCCTTTTTATACTGAGACAGTCCTAACCCCTGCTGTTCCATCTTCAAACTGTCATTCCAATGTTTTTGACATTTGACTACATTTTTTACTGACTTCAGTGTGTTTCTAATAAGGGCTGAAGGCCCTCCAGCTACTTCTACCCCTATTTTGTTTTTTTCTAATATTCGCGAGAACATTCTCTAGCTACTCCTACTCCTTTCATGAAACCTCCTACACATACAGACACACACCTCCCTACTCCTGCATACAGGCCTTGGCAGCTGGGCCCTCAACTTTCTTACACATGAAGTTACACTATTTGAGGAAGACACTGGGCTGACACTGTACACCCCTTAACATTACACTTATTTTACTGAATACAAATTGCACTATTATTTTCTAATACAGAGCTTACACATTCTACTCCAACCACTGCAGCCTATTTTAAATTCTGACTCTCTCCTTTGTGTCCGATTGTTTTCAGGGGCACAGGCTTCGGCTTCTGCAATGCCATGTGTAAGCTGGCGGCGGTGCTGGGCAACCTGATCTTTGGCTCTCTGGTTGGCATCACCAAGGCGATCCCCATCCTGCTGGCCTCGTCTGTGCTGGTTGCCGGCGGGTTGGTGGGGCTCCGACTGCCAGACACACGGGCCAATGTCCTCATGTAAACCTCCACACAGGACAGAGTGTTGTTTGCCAGGTATTTACTCAGTTTACTGAATAACCATTCTTTAATGGACTGATTTATTTGAAGCTGCCATCATTTTTGTATTTATTATTTGCTGAAGAATGTTGACTGTGTTCTCAAACAGGACAAGGGTGTGTTATGTTGTTATTTCTGAGTAAAAACCTGGTAAACAATAAAAGATAATGAGTTGCAGTTTGACTTTCCAATGAGCTGTAGATATAAAGAGTTTGGATAAAACAATCAAAGGTTAGAAATGTACCAAGTGTACGTGGCTGGTTGCCAAAGCGCTGGGCATTCATGCAGGAATTAAAATGCTACGGCTCAGAAACAAGTAAGAATTGTCGGTGGTGATGAAACTCTGAATATCAGCAGCTCAATAGCTGTTTTCACACATGCAGCACACACATATGTGTAAGAACTGCAAAAGGCTTGGACTTCCCACAACCTTCCCCTTCAAAATCTCTATTAAATGTACTCATATTAAAAGGGATAGTTTGAGCTTTTGGGACCAATGCTTATTCAAAGCTCACATTAGCAGCTGCTTAGCTTAACTTAAAGACAGGAAACACAGGAAATAGCTAACCTGTCCGTTGGTAAAAAATCTGCCAATCATGCTTAAACTCACTTATTTACCTTTTTTCATATCATCCTGTACCAAAAAAAAGTAGTTTATGTGGTTAGGGGCCATATTTCTTGGTCAGTAACTTTGCAGTGCTGTTGCTTTCGACTTGTTTTTCTAACGGATTTACCCACACAATGCCTAATTCTATTAGTGAGCTTCAGAAGTGCTGATAAGTATTGTTGCCTTAGTTTGAACAGAGCAAGGCTAGTTGTTCTCCTATGTTTCCAGTGTTTGTGCTAAGCTAACTAGCAGCTAGCGGTAGCATTATTACATTACAAACATTAGGAGTGCTTTCGCTCAATTGCATCCAACTCTGAGCAAGAATGCTAATAAGTGTGTAAAGTTCAGGTAAATGTCAAACTATTCCTTTAAGTAAAACAATATTTTTAACAAACATTTATGTGATCAGACTTGTTTTTATGTATATTTATATATTTAATAATTTATGATTGTTATTGCCAGTGTGCTTTTTCGAGTTGAAAGGCCAGAAATTGAAGGTTCTTTTTTCCCTCTGTTCCTACACCTGTGATTCCATATGATTGGCGACGTTCAAGCCTTTTGCTGCACATTTTAAGAATGACAAGGCCATAAGACAAATATATAAATAAATAAAGTAGTTTAGTCAAAACCGGCAAATTCAGCAGTTACATTTCTAAAGTGAAAAAAAGTTTACATTTTCTGCTTTTTACAGTAAGAGACTTTTGGGATTGGAAACCTGTTTGTCTGAATGCTTTCTCTCTCCCTCTTTCGTGTCTGTGTCGTGTTTCGTCTCGTGGCGCCGAGCTCACCGCGAAGGGCTTTGCTCTCCGTTGCAATCCAATCTGTAAAAAAGGAATTTATACGCTGTTGAAATCTGCACTCCTCTCTGTTTTGGTTTATTGTCTCACTGTCTTGGTTTCCCTCATGGTGTATCTTTCCCAGTCTTGTCCTCTTGCTCTGTTTAGCTCCTCCTGCCTTGCTGCTGCTCCCCCCTAAAACTCAAAGGCCTTTCTCAAATGTCGTGCCTCTTTCTCCATTGAGCCCGTCTCTTCTTCCAAACCTTTGCTGCTCTGTCCTGCTTTTTATCGGCTTTGCATCTCTTGATACTGCAGTGTGTATGAGTGTGTGTGCCAGACAAACCCTGATAAGATCAGTGAGCTTCTTTTTGTTTTATTTTCTACACCAGTTAGTGTTTTTTGGAAGATTTTAACAAAATGATGAAGTGAAATTAAAAGCCATGCTTAAATGATCAGTTCACCCAAATTCCCCAAAAACATGCCATGCAAACACTTAATGTGGGTCTCATCAGGACAGAGAAAGTCTTTTGGATTTATCCTCTAGGGTCAATGAGTGTTTGTACAACATTTCATAATAATTCATCCAATGTTTGTTGAGATATCTCACTCAAAAGCAGAAATGTCAACCTCATAATTGAGCTAGAATAAACGTCAGGGGATTAGAAAAGTCATTAGGATCCACCTTCTGGAGACCATGAATGTTTGTTCAACATTTCATGATAATTCATCTAATATTTGTCGAGATGTTGACCAACATTTCCCTTCCTAGAACAACACCTAGATGTACTTTTCTAAAACAGTATCCCTACTCTAGAAAACCCACATACATATTTCCAGAGGGATTATTTGATCTGTAAAAAGTAGATCCCATGAAAGGAGTGAGGTCCTTAAGATTAGCTCAGATGTTGTTTCTGGAAAGAGACACTGTTGAGATTTTCACCAAACAATATGTAACTCACCTTCATTTAAATGAAGTGCTGGGAGAAACCTCAGAGACAGATATCCGGGCAAATACAACTACAACTACCTGCATGCCTAGATACTATCTCTGCTAAGTAAATACAAAAATATGTTTTTTTGTAATTTGGGTGAACAGACCCTTTAAAACCTCTAATGAATGCAACTTTTGCTGCTACAATGTTTAAAAAAGGAAAAAAGGTCATTTGTAAAATATAAAATGTTATCTTCTGGGTTTGCAAAATGTCAAATAACACAAAACTAAAGTACTGTTTATTGCTTATATCCTATTTCTTACTCTGGAAATGTGTGCGGTACATAGGCTCCTACATGCAGCATGTTCAGTTTTTTTTCTTACTGAAATGCAATTGTTTTGAGATCTGGTTTCCTGATGTTTGATGCTTTATCTCTGTCCAACATCCCCCTCCAACTGTGCAGAAAAAACTCACTAAACATCACTGTTTGCAAAAATAAATCCTGCATGTTTGTTACTGAAGTCCTTCTGTTGTGTGCTTTTTCCATCTTGGTGTCTTCGCTGTTCCTCTGCGGGGGGAAACAGACATGTGATTCCCGGGTCAAAGGTGAATGTATCATTCTCGTGTGTCGTCAGGTTGGTTGTGGACAGGTGTTCATTATACTGAGTTGACTTGTGACATTGTGCTGACTGTATGTACTACAAGATGTTACCCAGCAGGGGTGGTCAAATCTGCTTTTTGTTGTGAAGGTTTCCAGGCAGATTCATCATGAAGTCACTGAAGCAGGAATGACATTTCCAGAGTTATGACTTTCAGATTTTAAAACCTCTGCTGTCAAACAATATGTGAAGGTGTGTGTAAAAACAATAACCTGTCCTTGATATGATTTATTTTGTTAAGAAAAGGCTCAAGTGAATGCAGTGTAAAGATGGATTCCTCTGGTGTCTACGTATTGAATAAAGAGTTTCATTTGAATAGCTGTCGGGCATTCATTGTGCAAGAATAAATATGGCCTCATTCACTTACACCAGCAGATGGCAACATGTATACAACATTAACCACGTGCTCTTATGAGGTGCTTTCTATATGTCTTTAAAATACTCTAATTCAAAGATTTCTTGGACAAAGTTGCAGATTGATTTTTTAATTTGTTGAACTTTTCGATTAAGCCCTCAATTTCAATAAAAAAAACATGAAAATAGCTTGTGCTAAGCTGAAATGTCCCATGTCCCAACATGTGCTGCATTCATTTTCTTCAGAAAGACAAAAAAAGAAAGTCCTGATTAACCAAAACACATAAGTTCAAATCAAACAAGTTAAATCCCTTTAATATTTAGTCTTCTTTTTAAAGAAGTGTTTACCTCAGTCTTAAAATTGAATTAAGTTTTTCTCCTCGGCAATCCTGATACCTTCGAGCTGAAATATGAGTCATCATTTCAAGTCTTAATGAAACAGACTGACTCATTCAAGACTGAAATCTTACAGAGACATCTTTTATGAAACTGTCTGAGGTTTGTATAAGCAAATGAAAGCACAGCCCAGGAGAGTTTTTAACTCGCAACCTCCAGAAAATGTGGTACTTCCAGTTTAGCTTTCAAGGCTAATTTACCTTAATAATTCTATTAAACTTTAAATTCAGGGTGGGCAAACTTTTGTCAGATCATTTGATGCATAGATAAACCTAAAATATTATATTCAAGGGTTTCAATTATGTATCTCTTATTTTAGTTTAATAACATCACTATGTTTTTTTGCTTTGATGGTTAAAATGAAACATGGAACCATCAACCATTACAGTGGAACAGCTTCTCTACCACCTGAGCTACTGCATACTCCAGTGCGTTTTAGTGTTTCTATTTCTGAGTGTACACATGTTGCAGTCTCTAAACTTAGTTTATCTGCAGAGTTGATGAGGATTAACTCTCTGCAGCTTCAGTGTTTGTGTGTGGAGTTTATTTGTATATAATATTAGAAAGACTGATTCTTATTATTACATTATAAGCTTATTGTGCTCATTTATGTGGCTGTGACTTTGGAATAAATAGACCCAATCACCTCCCCCAAGTTTTGATGGGGAGGACAGGAACGAAGGGAAAAGTTACATGAGAAAGTGTTTAGCTTGCAATATTGAAAGTATCAAGGTTGAGTGCAGAGATAACACAAAGAGGTATACAGAACAGCACATTGCACCGGCCTTGACTTTGTATGGGAGCCGCGCTCCCATGCAAAGCTAGGAAGCAACATTATGGTTTTCCGCTATATCTGAAGAAACGTTAGAGAAAACAAATTATGTATGATGGTGCCAGAGTAGGGAGGGACTTCCACAGGCCGGCCGGATGCTGATTGGTATGCCATTTAAGCCAAAATTAAATACATAAATAATTAAATATATATAAATATGCCTATGAAATAAATTCTGAAATAAATAAATGAGGCAATTAATATGTATACATGTACATTTAAATACACATTTATTTCATGGGACTTTTATTTCATAATGAGTCATTATGTACGGAGCCCCCCTGGTGACATTGGTGAGAATGTGTGGCCATGAGTTAATAATACGTGGCCACGAGTTAATAATGCGTGGCCACGAATTAGTTATTATGTTCCCACGCATTAGTAATTCGTGGGAACACAATAATTATTACGCAATAACTAAATCCAGATAGTTTATAGAAACTGATGACTGAGTGACAACAAGTCAAGTAAAGTTGGAACGATATTGGCAGATTCAGATTTCACGGATCAAAACGTTGTTCAGACACAAATGACGTCTCGTAAGTACCGTGGTAAGGTTGACAACGAACTACAATCACATTTTGATCAAAAAAAGCCAATACGCGCGGTCCTCCAAACTGGAGACATTACATTGGTCTCTATCTGCAGCCGGAGAAGAAATTAGTGTTCAGGGACCGTCTGCAAAGTGCAACTCCGGAAAAAGAGAATACAATAATATTCAATCACTTCACTATTATACAGTATATTTATACCAAACTCACTACACACATCAATAGTCTCATGTTGCTCATATTACAGCGGAGAGTTTGGAAGAATGTGCTTTTGAATAATTTTGGTGAATATTTATAGTGTAAAATCTTCAATAAATATGCCATCATCTTCAATAACGTTACTATTATACAGTATAAATTATATTCACCAAAATTATTGCAAACCATATTCTTCCAAACTCTCTGATGTAGTATGAGCAACAGAAAACTATTGATGTGTGTAATGAGTTTGGTAGTATATACCATGGGCGTCGCAACCATTATATGAGGGTGGGACAAGTCCCCCCCACTTTTTGAAATGATTAGTTTAGACCCCCCCACTTTTACTATGTGGAAAGTCCGTGAATCGGTCTATCCACTCGCCGCACTTTGAAGAGCGCTGTGTCAGTGCTTCACTATCAAATCCATTCCACTTGCTTATTGAGAGAATGCCCAAATCAATGAAACTCCGTACCATGTTTTCACTGCTACTTTGTACCAAGGCAGATTCTCACATAGCGCGCGCATGTTCAAGGAGTGTTGTTATAGTTGGACAGCTCAGATCTGTTGTATGAAGCGATGCCGGTAGCGGAGGTGCAACACAGTCTCACGGCATTTCGTGTTCACCAACACGATTTGCCCCTTTTTTTTTCGTGTTGCACAGCACGATTTTAAAAGCAATGTATTTCTACTGCCTGCAGCACGTCTTTTTCTCCGGTCGGGTCGAGGAAGACCGGAAGCTGTGTGGTTCATAAAAACATGTTCTTACTCAATATCAAGCCACAGTTATTGCTTTTATTTGAAATCGTATAATTTCGGACTTTTGTTGCCGTCTGTGAGGAAAATAAATGGGAAGGATACTGAAATCTGTATTTTTTAAATCTTTTTTTCCTTCTAATTTGTTATTCTTTTCAAAATAACACACTGTTATTTACTCACCAATAACACACAATTATCCTTGCTTTTATTTATTGGTTTAATTCCATAATCTCTGGCTTTTTTGGCGTCCGTCAGGAACTGAATTTCAAAATAAAAATAACCGGAAACAGACGTAGGCATTTCGAGCGATTACCCAAGATCCTCAGCTATGGTTTTAAGCTCGTTTATTGGATGTTTTAGCCGCAATGCATGCTGGGATTTGGTGTTTATATGATATGAAATCCGGAAAACATTTTAAAAGAATAAAATAATACTTAATTCCGAGCGCTCTTGCTTTTCTCTTTAAAAGTCATCACATAACGGCATTGTAATACACGGTTCGGCTGCATTAAATATTACAGATCTGCCGTAGTTCTTTATTTATAGAGCCCTGATGAGAAGACCTTTGGAAAAACTGAGAAAATGCCACCGAAACTGAATACTTGACGTGGATCATAAATATATTCAACAATTAAACAACATCTTCAATTTCTCTTCACACAATACGTCTCCTTGCAGTATCAACACTAATTCGGCTGACTTTTACATTTGATCTAATTCACAGATAGGTTATATTTAAACCAAAACGGTGCACAGCTGATATAAAAGGACTGTAGTTTTTAAAGATATTATTGATTTTCTTTGAATGTAAGAATGTAAATACTGAGTCTGAAGATACTATAAGTGATCTCTACAATAAGATACTATAAGTGATCTCTACAATAAAACAGTTTAGTGCAGAATGTACAAAGATATTAATAGGAGGAGGTGCAAAACAGAAAAACGAATTAACCTTTATTTAAACATTAAATAACAGATTATGGTCTTCTTTTAAATAAGAAAAAAACTTTGGGGGTATCTATCTACAGATAAATATTAAGCCTGACAAAGTACTTAACGTCTAATATATTGCTTTCCTGCAATGTTAACTATGTTGAAGCACTTATTTTAACTGATATTATACATATGAAGTATACTCTTATGTATGTAGATATAATAAGAAATGTGCAGAATATGACAGTTTAATGGTGGAGGTACACACATATTGATAGATGTCTTGTAATGCACTGTTGAGGAACCTGTGACCCAAGTGTTTCATTCATTGCATAACTACACCGTAGTTGTGTATATGATATGTCAATAAACCTTTGAAAATCTTGAAAGGGATGTGCAAAATAGCCATAATATACAGTCTTTAATTAACTATTAGTAGAAAATAACGAGTAATGAATATACTTTATTACTCGTTTCCATTCATGTCAATTGCAGATACATGTTTAGTCTTCTCAAGCACCAACTATCAAATATCTCTCCTGATTGTTGGCACTTGACAATCACCTTACCTGCATTTTACTCAGGTGTAACTAAAGTCTGATTTAAGGGTTGTTTATATTTCACATAATTAATCAGAATCTGCAAAGTAACTCAAATAAATGCAGTGGAGTAAAAATACCAGGTTAACCTCTGAATTGTAGTGGAGTAGAATTACAAAGTAACAATGAGCTGTCATGTGGGTATTAATGCTGCGCATTATGGACACAAGCGATTTTCACCCATTTATTAATTATATGTTTTACATTTGATAACACCAATGTGTTTAATACTTGCAACTTCTAATTGTGGGAAAAACGAAAACGTTCAGTAGAGACGTCCCATAGAACATTTTGCGAAACACAATAGCCAGCATGTGTAGTTCTGGGGGGGCGTTCGATTCCAGTTTTGGATAGTCTGGCGTGGTTTCGTTCCATTTCACACAGCTGTTTGACGCTCTGTGTAACCGTACGGGGACTGTAGTCCTAAACGATAGCTGGGGATTATGGGTAGTGTAGTGTCTTCGGCCATCCTAAACTCAGAAATGTTGACAATCGCAATGATGCTCGAAATGTCCCTTATAGGCCTACGTCTGTTTCCGGTTATATTTATTTTGAAATTCAGTTCCTGACGGACGCCAAAAAAGCCCGATATTATGGAATTAAACCAATAAATAAAAGCAAGGATAATTGTGTGTTATTGGTGAGTAAATAACAGTGTGTTATTTTGAAAAGAATAACGAATTAGAAGGAAAAAAATATTTTAAAATACAGATTTCCGTATTCTGAGGCTCTGAGCCCCATTTATTTTCCTCACAGACGGCAACAAAAGTCCAAAATTATACGATTTAAAATAAAAGCAATAATTGTGGCTTGATATTAAGTAAGAACATGTTTTTATGAACCACACAGCTTCCGGTCTCCCACGACCCGACCGGAGAAAAAGACGTGCTGCAGGCAGTAGAAATACATTGCTTTTAAAATCGTGCTGTGCAACACGAAAAAAAGGGGCAAATCGTGTTGGTGAACACGAATCAATAGATTAAAAATCGTGTTGGTGAACACGAAATGCCGTGAGACTGGGTTGGGAGGTAAGGCACACACACCAAGTGTTCAGGTCATCAAAACTGACGATCTCTTGGTTTGATATGTTTTCTCCCCCAGACAACATGGACATAAGACATTTTTTTTCAAAGAAGAGGAATGTAAGTCTTCAGCTGGTAGCAGTTAATCAGTTAACAGTGATGGCGACGGCAGCAAAAGCGTCTCACTTCTGGAGAGGAGTTTTATTGCACTGTATATATATATATATGTATGTATATATATATATGTATGTATATATATATATATATATATATATACGTATGTATATATATGTGTATATACATATATACACATTTTTGTTATTTTTTTATTTCCAAAATGTTGGGGCTGACTAGACCAACCATGATGCTATGCTACCATGCTATGATTCTGCTGTAGATGAAGGTAAACAGTAGTTTGGTCCAGTCCGGGCTAGGGGCGGACATCAGATTAATCATAAACATAGTAGTTGTTCTGAAATACAACTTCAACTTACCAGAAATGAAGTGTGCCGAGCAGATGTACACATATTGCACGGTGTCCTTAAGTTACCACGGCTTGTGAGTTATGGCATCGACGCGAGCGCAAGCTCTCGCCCACTGGGCCCTCCGTCCTGGCTGTTTTTCGTGCCTGGGGAACTTGAAGAAAGAAAACTTGGATTTTCCATCACTATCTGTCATCGAATGATGATTTCTACAAGTCCCAGCACTACACCACTTCACCATCTTCAAAGTATTGTATCTAACAAGTAAGTAACACGGCTAAACCCTCGGCCTGCTTGCACCTCGCGTAAAATGGCGGATACCGGAAGTACGGTGTCGCCCTCGGCCCAATACCCGTATGTGTGTGTGTGAAAGAATCTAACTAGCTAGCTAGCTTAGCAAGATAGCTAGCTAGAGGGGTATTTCAATGCGTTTGTTCACTTTAAAATGTTTGTAGTTTAGTCTGCAGGCTGTTCGACTTGCTATTGAATCTAACATTACATCTTATAAAAGCCTTTTAATGTGTTATCTGCATTCTTTAAGTAAAAATTCTACGGTTAAATTGATAACAATCCCTTTAAAAAAAAAAGGAGCCCACAACTTCCACCTTAGTACAATTGGAATAAAGTGTATAACATTTACAAAACAACATTACAGATACAGGCACACTTAATCTATGCCTTAAATACTGAAAATCTCTTTCGACTCCACTTCGAGCGATAGAACTATTAACAAAGCACTTATATACTAATAAAGGACTGGCTTATCTAAAGCCAGTTGAGTAGCACTTGAAATGTTTGGCTCTATGAAACCTGATGTACTTATATGATTCTGTTTTCTTCAAGGTTGTGTCTTCCTGGTCGAATGTACTTATTGTAAGTCGCTTTGGATAAAAGCGTCAGCTAAATGCAATGTAATGTAATGTAAAAAAATAACCAGAATGGTTTTGAATAAAGATATACATTTGGGGTGTATTAATGGCCGATCATGTTGGAAATGTATATTATGTATATAAAAAAGATAAAGTGCTCTATATGGTGCACTTTCAGTGGTTAAGTCCCTGCAGTGCCTTGCAAAATGTCCTACATGTTGGTTAACATAACACTGATTGCACTACCCAAAGCGTAGTTAATATTTAAATTCAAGCCACAGACTTATATTTATTTTTATTAAGAGGAAGTCACAAGATTTCCTCTTTTTTTATTGTATTTTTGTAACTGTATGTTAATTAGTCTAGTGTATGTGCTGGTGGCGTGTGTGTATCCTACATCCTGTTACAGGCTGGGCAGGAAATGCATACTCCCTTCAGTGGAGGGAGGTTCATTATTAAAAGATAAGAGAAACAAAGCGTATTTGAATACATATTTGGGAACATATCTGAATATACTATACAGAGATGTTCTAAGTTGTAGAAAAATTACATTTAGTTTGTCTGTATGAGGAGGGATTCAAGCTAAATTGGCTTAAGACATTTCTAGGCGCTACAAGACATCCAAGTAAACATTAAACACAGCATAGCTTATGCTAGTCATCACAGCTCCATATATGACGGGAACACAGAAAAGCCTTGGAGGCTAAAGACAGTTCATGTTACAGCTTGTCAGATAGGTATTAATGCCCCTAACAGCAAGTGTTCAACACATACTGAAACATTCCACAAGGAAGACTGTTGTAAAGCCATGAATCAAACTGTTAACTATATCATGTTAATTATTTAAAAAAAGCATACTTTCTTTTCATATTTACAAACACATCCATTAACAAGTGAAGCATCTCCATTCAATGTCTTTCACGTATTCTCACACATGAGAAGTATTGCTATATAAAAAATATTATTCCAGACAACACATTTAAAGCAACAAAAAGGTTGTTCCATTGCTTGCATCATAAATACAGTCCTTTTATTTCTCTTTGGATTCCAGCCCCAAAGAAAAAACTCCCTCTTTATCTGCAACAAGCAGTTTTTGGTAACACATAATACGCTTTTAGACGGACAAGCTCAGAGTTTTGCCTTTAAAGGCCCTGAAGTAAAGCCTTGTCCCTACGGACTTTGACATCAGGAGGAAGAGGAAAGGGTCCAGACATGCATGGAGGCAGCACAAACACACCGCCACTTTAAAATGGACGTACAAACTCTCCATCCCGTACACAAACAGTTGCGCATAATGGAGGAGGTGCAGGACTCCAGCGGGAGTGAAACACAGCAGGAAGATCACAAACACCAGAGAGCTGGCTTGGATGTACATGGCCCAGTCGTGGTGAGATCGGTTGAGCTCACACACGATGCGACCGTAGCACACAACCGTAACCACCAGCGGCACCAGGAGGCCGAAGACGGTCAGAAACAGGTTGTAGTAGAGCAAGATGACGTGGGATTCGGAGAACACGGGCAGGACGTCATGGCAGGTGATGCGTCGCACCTCAGGGAGCCAATAGCTCTGCTGCACCAGGAGCTGGGGGACCACGGCGGCCCCGAATGCCCCCCACACTGCCAAGGTGACCCACGCAGTGACCGCCCTTTTGGGGAGGCTTTTGTACATGAACGGGTGTACCACGGCCAGGTAGCGCTTGATGCTGATGCAGGCCAGTGTCTGGGCCGAGCAGTAGAGGTTGCCATAGAAACAGGCTGTGACCACCCGACACGCAGCCTCCCCGAGCACCCAGTTGTTTCCATGGAAATGGTAGTGAGCATTGAAGAGGAGGGAGAGGAGGAGGAAGAGGTCGGAGACGGCCAGGCTGCAGTACAGGATGGCGGAGGACACCTTCCGGATTTTTGTGACCAGCGTGCACAAGATGGCGACGTTGGCCGGGATCCCGACAGCGACGACCAACATGTAAATTATGGGGATGACCCGGGTGCTCAGGACCCCGTCCAGGAACCCCACTGTGCTGTTGCTAAGGGACTGCAGTGTTGGAGGGGATTCAGATGGAAGGGGAGCCTGTGTCTCATTTAGGACAAACAAGGACTTGGTCTTAATGACTGGGTCCCCAAAAAATGTTCTTGGCCCTGCAATGGCAGAGCTGTTGCTGTTGTTCTTTTCCTGTTTCCCTGCAGCAACAACAACAAGAAAATAAGTTACAATCCAATTGTTTATTGCCTCACAATAGCTGAAATATACTCATTAGATTGCAACTAGTTGTATTCTTAATATACGTTTTTTGATTTGCATCTTGTGTATAAAATGTCATAACATAGCAAAACATTAGCAGAAACAACGTCTTCAGTCCACCGCCCAAAGAGGTTGCGTCACCGTCATTTCAGCTGTATTGATAATAAATCTTTCCATGTGTTGCAATAACTTATAACCATAAAATGAGTGCCTGTTCCACGGTACACGTAGCTTGTTATTTCTTCATCTGATTCTGGTGGAAGAAGTATCAAAACCTTCACTTGCAGTTAGAAAAAGTATGAAAGTATTCTCAGCTAAATGTAAGTTTACTTACAACATTAAAAGTAGCCCTAGAGTAATGACTGACAATTAATTTAAATCTGATCTAGGAGGGTTTTATTTTTTATTCAATTTTAAAAGTATGAGAATTGGCTCAACAACTCATCCTCCTGTTTATTTAGTACCACTAACTAGGTTAAACTAGGTTTAACTAGGTTCAAACCCCACTGCAGTCAGCATGTCGTTGTGTCCCTGGGCAAGACACTTCACCCCAAATTGCTCCTGTGGGGATTGCTCACAATACTGAGTATGTAAGTCCATCCATCCATCCATCCATCTTCTTCCGCTTATCCGTGGTCGGGTCGCGGGGGTAGCAGTTCCAGCAGAGAGCCCCAAACTTTCTTTTCCCTGGCGACATCAACCAGCTCTGACTGGGGGATCCCAAGGCGCTCCCAGGCCAGCGAAGAGATATAATCCCTCCACCTGGTCCTAGGTCTACCCCTTGGTCTCTTCCCAGCTGGACGTGCCTGGAACACCTCCCTAGGGAGGCGCCCAGGTGGCATCCTAACTAGGTGCCCGAACCACCTCAACTGGCTCCTTTCGACGCGAAGGAGGAGCGGCTCAACTCCGAGTCCCTCCCTGATGACCGAACTTCTCACCTTATCCCTAAGGGAGACACCAGCCACCCTGCGGAGAAAACCCATCTCGGCCGCTTGTATCCGCGATCTCGTTCTTTCGGTCATGACCCATCCTTCATGACCATAGGTGAGGGTAGGAACGAAAATGGCCCGGTAGACAGAGAGCTTTGCCTTCTGGCTCAGCTCCCTTTTCGTCACAACGGTGCGGTAAAGCGACTGCAGTACCGCTCCCGCTGCTCCGATTCTCCGGCCCATCTCACGCTCCATTGTTCCCTCACTCGAGAACAAGACCCCGAGATACTTGAACTCCTTCACTTGGGGTAAGGACTCATTCCCTACTTGAAGTGGACAGTCCATCGGTTTCCTGCTGAGAACCATGGCCTCAGATTTGGAGGTGCTGATCCTCATCCCATCCGCTTCACACTCGGTTGCGAACCGATCCAGTGAGTGCTGAAGGTCGCAGACCGATGAAGCCATTAGAACCACATCATCTGCAAAAAGCAGTGGTGCAATCCTTAGTCCACCGAACTGCAGACCCCCTCCCCCATGACTACGCCTCGAAATCCGATCCATGTATATTACAAACAGGATTGGTGACAAAGCGCAGCCCTGGCGGAGGCCAACCCTCACCGGAAATGGGTCCGACTTACTGCCGAGGACCCGGACACAGCTCTCGCTTTGGGAGTACAGAGATTGGATGGCCCTGAGTAGAGACCCCCTCACCCCATACTCCCGCAGCACCTCCCACAGTAACTCCCTGGGAACTCGGTCATACGCCTTCTCCAAGTCTACAAAACACATGTAGACCGGATAAGCGTATTCCCAGGCCCCCTCCAGGATCCTTGCGAGAGTAAAAAGCTGATCCGTCGTTCCACGACCAGGACGGAATCCGCATTGTTCCTCCTCAATCTGAGGTTCGACAATCGGCCTGACCCTCCTTTCGAGTACCTTAGAGTAAACTTTCCCGGGGAGGCTGAGTAGTGTGATGCCTCTGTAATTGGCACACACCCTCTGATCCCCCTTTTTAAAAAGGGGGACCACCACCCCGGTCTGCCACTCCTTCGGTACTGTTTCCGACTTCCACGCAACGTTGATGAGACGTGTCAACCATGACAGTCCCTCAAC